ATCTTCGATATTCCTTAAGTGACTTCCTGGAGCCATCTCTACCATAAGCAGGTGTCACACCCCCAACCCAAAATGGTGGAAACATTCGGGGGTGGATAAATTCATGTAGTATCATAACAGTTGAGTATTTGTAAAGAAAGTAAACACAACCATCATAAATATAATTTAAAAGTTACATTGTTGAATGTAATACATGTTTCAAAATAAATTAAGATATGATGATTTAATAAGTTTTGAAGCTGATGCCTTAGCGTCCCTTCCCCTAAAGCTGTGTTTTCCTGTATTACTGAATCTCTGAGAAATACAAGTAGTTTTGAAAAAGTGTCAACAATTAAGTTGGTGAGTTCATAAGCATTTTTGTATAGGAATAGTATACCTTTTAGTATAAAGAAATTCGATTTTGTTCCTAGAAAATCCAATATTTTCCATAATTGGGTGGTGGTTTTAAAAGTTGCAAAAACCGGAATGCATAAGTGTTTTCCATACCTAAAATGGTATATATATATAATCACTAAGGCGTTTAACAACCCCGTAAACCAAGATGTATTAATACTCCATGTGAGTTTTTATAACCATGCTATTGACCTAGACTACCTGTAACAACGTTCTTCAGGTGTTGGAATGATATGACATTTGTCACCCCAGACCTGCTGGTCTAACTGTAGCTAACAGTTTAGGTGTGGGATTGTTAATCCCATATAGATCTATACACAAAAATCACGCTCTCCCAACAAGAGATTATGGCTTATAAAACAGGAGTTAATCTGCGAGCTGAATGGTTTGATGAAGTCAGATATCTCACAAAATTTAGTATCAATAGGTTTACGTATGAAAAGTCCAGTTTTGTTGTGAAAATAAGTATTTCCTCTTTTATTTATGATATGTAAAACTATCATGAATATCTCGTAAACTATACCTATTATAGTTTTTCAAAAAGTGTGTTTCATTTGAATGATAAACCTTGGTGTATTACCAACTTTGCAAGTAAAGTAGTCTATAACGTTAGGAGTAACGTTATTTGACGTATTTAACATTTATACATAAGATGTAGGTAAAACATTAGAACTTATATGTAAGGATTTGTATTTTAACATAAGTTTTTCTTGCACTTCACATCTATTTTCTCACACCCCCAAAACCGGTGAACGGCGGAAACGTTCTGGGGTGGAGGACGTCATGTACAATATTACAACAATGTAAAGTCATAAACAAGCAACAACATCATCAATTGCATTAATAGTATAATTGCATACAAGTGTGTTATGTCAACTTATATAGACACCAAAAAATATATACATCAAAATAAAAGAGGAGTCTTGAACAAGCTCCTTCTTCTCAAAATCCGGCACCTGTACCTGTCTACTGGTGACCTGAGAATCCAAGTTATTTTGAAAGCGAGTATCAGCTTTAAAGCTGGTGAGATCATAAGTATATTAGTGTCTTAGTTTGTATGAAATCATTTGTAAGATGTTTTGTAATGTATAAGTTCTGTTAAGTTTTGTATTGTTTGTATTTGTTTGAACTCTCCTAGAAAACCCTATGTTTTCTACTAAAAGTAGCCTTCTACCAATGCATCTAGTATCTACGTGTGTGTCTCATGTAAGAGTGTGTATTTTCCCAACTTCGACTATCATTAACCAAAAATATAGTTTTTACATCACCGTGCATCGTGTGCATGATCACAAAGTGAATACAATGGGGAAATATTATAGTACTGTAGTGTTGTATTAAGTAACTACTGTTGTACTAAGTACCTTAAGCAATTGTAATTTTTAAGGTAACATGTGATCGGCCTGTATCTTGCTACCGAATCAATAGTAAGACGACAATGTAAGATGCCGTAAAAATGACGTTTGGCACCCGTAGACTTGCAAGTCCCACTGTAGCGAGAAACAAGGTGTAGGATAGTCAATCCAGTATAGATCTATACACAAACTCATACGATCCCCAATGAAGGAGATTCTGATACAAAAGTAGTCATGGCAGGTAGTTCCATGCCCTGTTTAATGGCTCACATAACTGTGTTAATGTATATGTAATGTATATGTGCGCTAGCTGTATTGTGCGTTCTTTCTCTGTCTAGCCTGTATGTTTGTTTCTCGTCATAGTGTCTATTGTTTGTTTCTCCTCACTCTGTTTCATGTTTGATTCTCATCATAATATGTACTAACTCATGGATGAACTGAGTCTTTGTATGTTTCATTGTTCTAGTAATAGTATCTTCCTAAACTACCCCTATGGTAGCTTACTAGTAATGTATGAACATGTTTGTATACCCTTGCTACCCAAGGGCATAGAATTGAATGAAAGAAATAACCTTTTATATCTATATACATATACATAATATATAACTAGGATTCAAATGACCTTCGGAAAACTAAACTTGATACCCTAAGACCACATCAAACAAGAATAGGAAGCAGGGTAGGCTAGCAGTCCTAAGTCCTTTCAATCCTACTTATATAACTATATTTATACAGATACATAGAATATAAGTTTAAAAGAGCTTAAGTAAAAGTATTTGACAATTAAAGGAGTTTGTAAGACAATTTGATGTTAAACAATTTGATAAATAGTTTGGAAAATAAGAAAAACGATTTGTTTGGTAGTCATTAATCACATGTGATTGATATTATAACTGTAATTGTTCAACTTTTATTCCCCCCCCCCCTAAAAGCATTTAAAACATTTCAAAGGTTAATTTAGGGGTATGAACTCACCTTTAGTGAGTGGTTCTGATGAAAATGTTGGATCAGTTGCTAAGTGTCAAGTGGTGACTTGAGTACACACGCGAATCCTATTTAACATATATTGATACATATATGAATATAATTAGTGTTATGAACAACTAATTAATGAATTGGGACCACTTTAGGGACTGGTAAACACTTATTTTGAAGTGTTACAACCTTATATGATTGTATAAAGGGTTATAAGGCTATACAAGAAGGTGTATGGCCAAAATACACACTATATGTGTACGTGCGGCCATGTGTGCGGCCAGGTGTGCTGCCAGCACGTGTGTGCGGCCAGGTTTGCTGCCAGAAGGCGTGTGCTGCCAGAAAAGATGGTGTTCTTGGTGAAGGATGTTACCTTTTCAGATGATACTTGAGAGGATTTTCGAGTCCATGCTTTGTAGAAGTGTAAGAAATGATCAAAATGACCAAGGATAGTATATATAGGCGGGTGTGTACGGCTGGAGGGGTGTGTGGTTGGTTTCTGTGCGGCTAGCTGGCCACACACTCTAGTGTGCGGCCGCACACACCTGGTTTGGTGTGTTTGGCCCATTTTCCAATGCTACACCAAATCTAACCCATCCTCCGACATGTATCTCAATTATACTAAGCTTTAAGCACTCTTTTAGACCTAAAACTTCATCATAAAATAGCAAAACGAAGCTAACTTTGATATAAATGAAGAATGTAAGCTAGAAATTTCAGGTTGTCACATATTTCCCCCCTTAAAACATAGAAAAGACGTGAAAATATAGGGGTATGAACTCACCTGGAAAGTGTGATGATTTGTAGAAAACGAGACTTTTCTCGGGCAACACTTCGACCGAAAATTGGTATACTCCTTAGGAATCTCGGAGCTTCAGACCTTCGTCGGAGCTTGGATACGTAACCGAGGTGTCGGGGTAGTCTCTAGAGGGTAGAAGTATGAAATTTGGGAGATAAAATGGTGAATTAGCAACTTAAATCCGGAAGTCGTGCATCCTATTTATAGGAGGGGAGCCTGGCCTCGTACGCTGGGCGTACTCTGAAGTAAGCGGTGCGTACGTGATGCATGACACCTTCCTTGATCGCCGATCTTTGGATGGGACGCGATAGAGGGGTAGAGGGGAGACGTGGCCAATCTGAGGCCCTGTATGGCATACGCTGGGCGTACCCTCGTATGCTGGGCGTACTCCCTCAGTTTGAGTGCCCCGATCTTCTAAATTACGTAACTTTCGCATACGAGCTCCGTTTTTGGCATTCTTTATATCTACACGTAGGTGAGATTATACTCTACAACTTTCGTTTAGACTTTGTTAGCTAATTTTGACTTAATTTTTAATGTTATATTTTTAACAGGTCAGAACTGGAAAAGTTCGTTAAAAATCCATAACTTCTTCATCCGATGTCCGATTTCATCTGTCTTTTTACCGTTGTACTACAATTGTCGAGATCTTCAAATCTCATTTAGGTTGTTTCGGCTAAATATCCCTCAATTTCTATTTCGAGTTTTTAGTTGTCTACCGCTACTCTGAAATTTAGAAAAATCATAATTTCTTAATACAAAGTCAAACTTGGATGTTTATTTTATGTACGTAAGGCTAAAAAGTATTTTATTGAGATTTCGCGTTTTACGCTTAATAGTGTTTTACCGGTTTTGTTGCGGATTTTCGATTGGTCATAACTTCTTCGTTATAACTCGGATTTTACTGTTCTTTACATTTCTGAAAATCTGGTTATGATATTTATTACTTTATGCAACCCAACTGAGACCTTTGAACATTTTATTTTTGACACTATTTTTATTATATCAAAAGTAGATTACAAATCCTTGATTTTAGGTCATTACATTGACTTGAAATATTGAGTTGCCACAACAGGTATGTGAGTTCTAATCTTCATGCTTTGTTGACTCTAGTTCTCAAACCATTACAAGAACCATTGGAGATGGTGAATATAGGGTTACTATTGATGTGGAATCGTTTCAAACTATTATAAATTCCTTCAGAAGAAAAATGCGAGTACATTCGTGAAACATTAGAGTATAAGTTTTCCCTTCAGGGCACCTCTCTTGATTCATCCAAATACAATCTTCGTCGATGTTTTGTTGTAGGGTGGAAGTACCTATCGGTGGTAATTAGTAAATTCCTTGGGCACAAAACTGAGAGCTTAGATAAATTGAATCTTTTTGAGATAAGAATTTTGTTTTCCATGGTGTGTAATAAAAGATAGGATTTTTCCCAACTCTTTCTTGATCACTTGATTAATTGTATCACTAGGAACAAGATGCCAGCATATGTTCCTTATCCTTGTTGGCTTGGACTAATTTTGGCTTATGATAAAGAAAGTTATAACGTTAATCATGTATACATCATTACAATACCAGCCCTCTCCACAAAGATCATCAATGCTGCTCCGTCTAATGGTGATATGCATATTACCCAGAAAATGGTGAACTGGATTGCAAATACCTACACTGTTGAATCCTCTGAATCTGAAGAAGAGGATGATGAGGATGAAGATAAATATAATGAGGAAGGAGATGTTGATCAAGAAGGTACTAATGATGAAGATGAAGCTAATGATGAAGAAGACGTTGAAGATGAAGAAGATGAACTCGCCACTGGCAAGAGAGAAGCCTCTGTTTAGGGAATGAATTCTACTCTAAGATTGAACTAGCACATTTGATTCTCTTCTACTTCTTCATCCACTCCCTCCATATATGATATTGTACAGCATGGATCAACATCACCTCAAGTGGAAACTACTGATTCACTGATCCAAGATGTGATTTCTCCAAGATTGGTGTCTCCTTCTCCTAAAGCTGAAACCATCTTTCTTATGCCAACACCTCTTCAGACTGCTTCTTTTATCATGGGGAATACAAATCTAACTTTCAAACTACTGTGCTCCCTTAACTCTCTCTATTGGTGTAGATAACTCAATCTTTGGGAGAAAGACTTAATAGTGTAGAAAAGGATGTGGTTAATATGAAACATTTTATGACCTTGGGTGATGATGATGATGATGATGTGGTTAGTGAAGATACTCCTCTAAATTCTCTAGGTGATAAGCCTCCACCTCCACCTACACCTTCATCATCAAATTCACCTACACCATCTCATCCCCCTCCTCACACTCCTTCACTACCTCCTGGCTCCCTTCCCCGAACCGATGATGCCAAAAAGGGGGAGAATAGTCAACGGAGCAATGATCAACAAATGGTGATTGCAAAAACTCCATATATGCCTGAAATGTATGAATAAGGGAGGGATGTTAATCAAAAGGCAATCGTTGTAGTTGAGCCATAGATCTACATACTAGAACCTGATGCAAAAGGCGATGATAAGCTTACCTCAGACACTGGTGATAAATCTGAGACATATGAATATCAAGGGTTTCTCAACTTGGGGTTGAACAATCTGTTGTTGCTATTCCTTTGAGTGTTGTTTACCCTGATTGATATTTTGAGGGGGAGATTCCTGAAGGAACCCAAATCGACATAGATTTTGATAATGAACAAATCAATACTAGAAAGAGGAAGGCTTTCTTCTTAGGAGGAGCTAATGACGCTAAAGTTGAAAGTTCTTTTGCCACTGGTGATTCTTCATCCCCTCCTCTTTGCAAGAAAAGCAAGCTCACTGGTGATCTGAATGATTTAACTAAAGAATGGTGTAAGATACCAGTTATGAGGTATTTCCAAATTTAACTCTTAATTATGAAAGTTCATGATTTTTATCCCATGGAATGAGTTTGTTTGCAAATTGGCCCCTTAGTGGAATTTCCATAAAATCAGGGCAAGGCTTGGTACGCTGAGCGTGCATACGTGGGCCTTAGTAGATTGGGCATACACTGCGTATGGCGAGCATACATGAAGAATCCTCAAATGATAATTTGTAGGGTTTCGTCCATATATAGTCATCATTAACTCTTCATTTCTCATTCCTCATCAGCCCCCACCTGAGAATATGTCCCTCTATCTAACCCTACGAGAGAAGAGTTCATCTTGAGCTCATTTTTGTGTTTTGGTGGTATTCTTGAAGAAAATGAAGGTGGTGGAAAGACTTTGGATCTTGGAAGAAACTTAGATATGGGATTCTCTCTTTACTAGCAATCCCCAAGAGGTAAAAAGCTACTAGCTTGATAATCTTATCTTATAGATTTAGCCATTTCTACATTTAGGGCATTTTTGGTCCCAACTATGATGATTCTTGAGCATGGCCTGATTTTAAATGAATAAGTCACCCTTTTAGACCGAATGAGGGGTCTTGAGTCATAAAAATGTGGTCTTGATGCTTACTTTTTTCCCATGCATGCTCTAGAAGGTCTTAAGCTGTTAAGAAGTTGGGATTTTGTGTATTAAGCATTAAATAAGCATGCAAAGTCATGAAATTGGATACTTTATGACTCTTAGTGTTATTTTGGCCTTGTATCTGAAATTGGGATGTGAAAGGTTAATGCATTAAGCTCTTATTGAGGAAAAAGTAATTAGGTACATATGTCATGTGTAACCTAGCGTACGCCGTGCATATGGAGTCAAACGCCTGACTCCAGTCAAAGCCTGAGTACGCCTAGCATAGAAGCTGAGTATACCCCACGTACTCAGTTAAGTGGACCAAGTTGACTTGTTGACATTGACCTTTAACCAGAGTTTTGACCATGTTGATCTACCAGTATTTTAGGTTTTCTGTGCTTCTTAATTGAGATTAGGTCCTTGGTTTTGGTTAGGTGATCGTTGAGCCGATTTTCGGTATAGAGATTTATTCAGCTTGCATTCAGGAAGAGATGTGAGTTTTCCTCATTGTATCCATGGGTCAAAGAAACCAATGTCGATCCACTAGATTATTTATCCAAGTTAGGATAGTGATATGATAGTTTGTAGTTGTACAGTAGATCAATATGCCAATCTAAATTTGTTGGCTCTGTGTTTATGTTTATCTTTTGCATATGTTGGCATGTTGTGTTTGGTTGAGGCGGTCCTACTTTGTGTTGTAGGCCAAGCCACCTTGGGATGACCGAATAGGTTGTAGCCCCTACGAGTGGGTCCAGTTAGGCTGGTGGCCTGTGGAGTAGTATAGATAGGCTATGGGCCCTGCGAGGTGGTCAAATAATGCCAAAGATTCATAGAACTATACAGATAGGCTGTAGGCCCTGCATGGCGGTCTAGTAAGGCTGGCTCTCATATTGTATGCTTATTTGATATCTTGTGTGTCGGTACTTTGGGGGAACTCACTAAGCTTTAGATTATAGTTTTTAGTTTATCGTTTCAGGTACTTTAGAGGATTGCGGGAAGGTAAAGGCGTGATCGGACACAACTTCCTGTTTTTATGTCTTTGGGTCTTAGGAAAACTCTTATTCGAAATAGTGGTTTTGAAACAATGACTCTTTTTCTAAACAATATTGATTCATGGTTGTTTTGAAAATTTTAAATTTATTGTGATTTTTCAAGTGTTACAAGTTGGTATTAGATCCTTGGTTTGAGAGAATTTGATGAACATTCGTGTGAATCCAGACTCAAACTAGCGAACTATAAAAGTTTTTAAACTAATTTTCAAAAATTGGTTTCAAAAAGAACCAAGCAAGGATGTGGTGTGTACGATTAGTTGGAGCAAAAAAGTATACCCCAAGTTACGCACATTGTTATCTGATATTATGTATATGTTAGAACAACATGCTAGTTGTAGGATAAGGATCTTTAGTAATTACATGATAGAATTGCCCGATATATGATGCCTTATTTCATACAAAGTTTTCTTGCTAATTGTTGTATGACTCTTTTGGGTGTGAACTAACTATTAATTGAATACGTTAAGTCACATGCTGCATGGGTTAAATAATTTTATAGTAAAGGATTTGGTCCTACTGTGCAACTCTTTTCTGAGTCCAACTATTGTAGATTTGAATCTTTTAATCTAAGATTATTTAAGTTATGTTGCATGTGATTTTATTCATGTAGTATTTAACTAGAACCAATAGAGGTCGTTTGGCAGTTGATAGTAGGGTGACGTGTTGATCCTAGGATAGCATAAGGAGTATCTAGTGCTCATGATGCGCTTTTAGGAAGTGTTGGAAGTTCCACGAATGAGTTATTTGTAAGCAGCCAAATAGTTGAGAAATGTCTAGCCTTTCTTTAGGGAGTAAGAATAGGATGTATGTGTATTCTAGTTGTTATATCTGTTTGGGTGGTTATGATGATTGTTGAAACAAATACGGGTAGGTGTGGAAGGTTGTATGGGTGCGTATTGCTGTAACCACAGAAACCGTACACGTCTCAAGGTAGTTAGAAACCCTGAGGGTTCGTATTTGTGGCATGGTTGTGATTATATGTGTATTGTGGAATTTCTAATGCATTTTGGTTCGTTTCTAGTATTGAGTTCACCAGTGGATCGGGTTCAGGATCTAGAGCTAATGGTCAAGATAGGTCAGGGTTGACTATTGATCAAATATGGGAGATGATTACCGTGGAGGTTTTATAGATATTGAAGGAGGATGTGTATGGTAGCATGGACCAGATCACTGGCAGGCTAATTTCCATGTTCGAGGAGTGAACTTCATCTTTTCAAACTCTAAGAGGTGCTACTGAGATGACTATTATGGGAGATCTTGATGCGGGGACAAGTCTCCAAAAGAGAAGGAGGGCTCATTCAGTGAAGGACGAAGAGGCTGAGGCTACTAAGTTAGGTACTGGGAGTTAAGGGAGCTATTATATATGCGGGAAGTATGGGGGAACCCACGGGCTTGCTTATCACAAGTTCAAATGCTATAAGTGCATAGAGAGGGCATGTCTTCCATTACTACAAGAGGCATCAGATGTGTTTCCAATTTCACTTGTCAGGTCATCTCAAACCTGACTGTCCTACATGGGTAGCTGAGAGAGTGCAAGCCTAGATTTCCAGAGTCCTGTGGGAGGTCAAGGTTGAAGCGCCAAAAATTACAGGTATGAAATTTTGAAACTTGGTTTGATTTTGAATGGTTAGCCAATCATGCAGTAGTTTTTAGAATTATAATGCTAGCATATATAGGCCATAATGGGTCAGAGTTACGTCTTCGAAATATTTGGGATATCTTATTCAATTGATTTGATTCCTATCCCCATGGGGAATGTATGTGCAATAGTGGGAATGGAATGGATGAGCAGTTTTGGTGTGATGACAGACCGTGAAGGTCAGTGGGAGGTGGTTCGAACCCCATGTATGGGGGGGGGGAGTTGGTTAACTATGTGGAGGATACCAGGAACGGGTCAACTTTTTTTCTGCTTCCAGGGCTCGAAAGTACATTCGAGTTAGGGAGCAGGTTTTGGTTTCAGATGTGCCAGTCGTTAGGACGTTTGCTGATGTGTTTCCGGAGAAGTTACCCAGTGTGCCTTCCTAGAGGCAGGTTGATTTCAGGATCGACCTAGTGCCAGGTGTAGCTCCAATTTCCAAGGCACCATATATTTTGGCACCGCCTGAGATGAATGAGTTATCCTATCAGTTATTGGAGCCTTTAGGCAAGCAGTTCATAAGACCGAGCAGTTCGTCATGGGGAGAACCGATATTGTTCATCAAGAAGAAGTATGGTTCACACTAGATGTGCATTGATTACCGGGAGTTGAACAAATTGACGGTGAAGAACCATTATCTACTTCTGTGTATTAACAACCTCTCTAATCAGTTGTAGGGTGCGTCTTTGTTCTCCAAGATCGATTTGTGGTCGAGTATCATCAGGTGAGGATTAGAGAGGAGGACGTGGAGAAGACAACATTTCATACTCGTTATGGGCATTACGAGTTCGTGGTGATGCCATTTAGTCTCACCAATCTGCCTGCGGTGTTTTATGGACTTGATGAATCAAGTATGTAGGCCGATGCTCAATTGATCAGTTATTGTTTTTATTGATGACGTATTGGTGTATTCCAAGACCAAAGAGCAGCATGATGAGCACCTTCATGAACATTTAGGAGTGTAGAGGTGAGAACGGTTGTATGCCAAGTTCTTGAAGTGTGAATTTTGGTTACGAGTGGTATAGTTCTTCGACCTTCTCATTAACAGAACGGGATTTTAGTCGATACGACCATGATTGAGTTTGTGATGTAGTGGAAGGTTCCGAAGTCTCCCTCGGAGATCAGGAGTTTCTTAGGTTTAGTAGCATATTATCAGATATTTATCCAAGATTTCTCTAAGACTGTTGTACCCCCTACTCATCTGACAAGGAAGGGTGTGAATTTCCCATGGGGCCTTGAGTAGTAGAAGGCATTTGAGACATTGCAACAAAGATTATGAGTGGCCCCAGTGTTGACCTTTCTACAGGGTTTTGAGGATTTCGTTGTATTTTGTGTTGACCTTTCCAGAGGGTATTGAGGATTTCAGTAGCTGAAGCCGCATGAGGCACGATATCCTACTCATGATCTTCAGTTGGGGGCAGTAGTGTTTGCCCTCAAGATTTGAAGACATTATCTGTATGAGGTCTGGTATACTATTCACATAGATCACAAGAGTTTGTGATATCTGATGGAATAGCCAAACCTAATCATGAAGCAGTGCAGGTGGCTTGACATGGTCAAGGATTATGAATTCGAGATTCTTTACCGTCTGGGTAAAGTGAATATTGTCGCTGATGCTTTGAGCTGCAAGTCTACTGGATCTTCAGGTAGGGATATGTGTATGAGGATATCCATTGATTCTCCACTTTTGGGTTTGATCAGAGTAGACAAGAAGAAGGAATTAAGAAGGATAAATGGAAAAAGGAGAGGATCATGTGCAAGATTGATAGGTTTTTCACCGATAGTCGGGGATTATTGACCCGGTGTGATCAGGTTTCATTTTCTAGTGGGGTTAGACAAATAGCTTTGAAGGAGGCTCATAAGTATTGCTCTTTGATACACCCGAGAGCCACCAAGATGTATCAGGATTTGAGACTAAGTTACTGGTGGCCATGTATGAAGAGGGAGATAGATTGGTACATTGAGAGGTACTTAACCTATAGGATGGTCAGGGCCGAGCATCAGAGGCCGCATGGAAAGATCCAGCCTTTGCAGGTTCCCATGTGGAAGGAGGAATAGATCACCATGGATTTTATCACCAAGCTACTCAAGAATGTCAAGGCTTTTGATGCTATCTGGGTGATCATGGACCAACTGACCAAGCGTGCCTACTTTTTGGCCATCCGGGAGACCCGACTAGTGAAATTGGAAACACATCTTATGTCAAGGCTTTTTGGCCATCCGGGAGACCCTTATACTGCATCAGGCTTGCCCGACATCAGACCGAGGTCTGGGACATATAATACATATCATACACATGCAAGAATCACAAAGACAACAAGCATACGTAACTACTTCTCAGGACTGCCCCAACATCGGACTGATGTCCGGAAACATATAAACTGCATCGGGCTAACCCCGACATCGAGTTCGCACCAGCATATTATGCTACTTAAACAGTCCGGCATTGGTGCCTTAGACCCGTTCCTACTGTAGGAAAACTCACCTCTCAAACTGGATGCTGAAAACTCAGGCGATGGTATCTCTGTCAGCTGCTCTAACGACTCTCCGACTATTATGACCAAAATAAATATTTAGTCAAAACATAGAATCCATCTAAGGTTAAAATGATTATTTTACCCCTCTGATCTAAATTGGACCAAGACCGAGGCCTAATCCTTTCTAGTCTTTCCAAATTCTCTAAGGCTCATTAAAGTCCTCCAATGGCCTAATTTGTTAAATTGGCCCAACTCCTCAAATGGGCTATCCACCCAAGACCAAAATAGTCCTTGGCCCTTAACTATATCCTAGTGGCTCATCACGACCCAACATCTACTAAGCCCAAATATTGGCCCAAATCGAGGCCTAATAACATAAGTACAAAATTTCAGTGTACGCTGAGTGTACTCTTCTGCACGCTGCGCGTACAACTTGCAAGGCTTGTATGCTTCGCGTACTGGCGTGTACGTCCAACATACTGTCCTGTTAAGCCATTTTCTTCAAAACCTCTTAAACCGTTAAGACACTACGTCCAAACTATAGATCTGAGTCCAATAACACTTCTTAACCCATAAAGTTGATCACTTGGTGGTTTGCACCCCACCAAATGAGATCAAACTTGTAAAAATAGAAACTATCTTCATGGAAATGGCTAGATCGCCTGCACGGATGCAAATGGTCCTTAAATATTGCAACTTTACTACTCAGGCGACTCAAATAGCTTCACGGGTGCCAACCCTAAGTCCATAAACGATTTTGCACCATAAAAATCCATTCATGAAACCAAAAAGGGTCAATATCCATGAGAACCTAGATCTATGATGTAGAAGCACCAAGATGAGAACCTTATACCTTCAGTAGGCTGGAAATGATGTAAAACCTCTAGATCTACAATCTCTCTTCAATCTCTTTCTTCTTGTCTAAACACCTTCTTCTTCAAAAACTCCAAAATACTCCTCTAATGGCAATCCAAGCTCCAAAATCACTCAAATGGGAGATAAGCGTCGATTTCTAGGGTCTAGAGGGTGGAGGCTGAGGAGATTAGGGTTAGGTTATGATATAAGGAACCTAACTAGGGTCAAAGACCCTAAAAGTAGGGTTCTGATCTAACTGGCGTATGCCCAGCGTAATTCTGGTACGCCCAGCGTACTCCGAAGAACATTCACGACCATCCTGGTTAGCACATAAAACGTACTGTGGGGTACACCCATCGTACTATCTTCCTTACCAGTACGCCCCACGTACTCTTGGTGTACGCCCCATGTACTCGGCTATGCCTGAAAACCATGAAACTTCTGAAAGCCATAACATCTTCATTACAAACTCGATTCCAACGATCCTTATATCCACGGAAAGGCGACGAGAAGCCCTACACTTTTATCATCTCATAACTTCCTTAAGACCTTCCAAAAAAAGTCCATTTCCACAAAATCCCAAACTGATACTTTACCAAAACACCCTTAGGCTCCAAAACACGAACCGAACATCCGGATCACTTCTAATACATCACTCGCACCCAAATAGGCATATATCTTACCTTTTCGATAGCTATAATTCTAATAATGACCAACCTCCGGGTAACAGCCTCATACTAGTAGTCAATCCGGAACAGGGAGTTACACTTTGGTCACTATATGATCTGGATCTAGAAGTTCAATGGGTTTTTAGAGTCATGCATGGGTCTTAGGTAACTTTCTCAACATTTTGACCTAGTTCGGATGAAGGACATCCATGGTTCATGAATGTCCATAAAGTTTGTATTTTTATGAACCATTAAGGTCCTAAGAAGCATTCTCAAAAGTTAGAAATGGAGTCTTAACGAATTGAGAGATAAATCTATGTAAAATTCCACAACATGGTGACTTGCTTGCCATGATGTGGAGGTTGGTCTGGTCGCGACTGTTTTGTATAAACTCTGCCACAACGTTGTAACATGCCTTCCACGATGTGGTAGCGGATTTTGATTGGGATCAATTTCGATGGGCACGATGTGGCCTTCGGTTGGCCACAACGTGG